CCCCCCCCGCCTTCACTGAGGGGCCCAGGTAAAGAGAAGCCGGAGCAGAGGTTTGGCCAGCCCCTGGGACAGGTGTCTTTGTGGGTGGAGTTGTGAGAGGAGGGGGGGGTTGTTTCTGCTTTATTTTTAACCCTTCAAAAATCAGACGCAAAACTCACTGCCACGGAGTTGATGCTGACTCACAGCAGCCCCCCCAGGACAGGGCGGGCGGGCGGCCCCGTGAGTCCCGAGACTGCAGCTGCTTACAAGGGTGGAAAGCCCAGTCTTTCTCCCGAGGATCAGCTGGCAGTTTCGAGGGGCCCACCGTGCAGTTAGCAGCCTAACGCGTCACCGCCATGCCACCCGGGCGCCTCAGACCAGTCCGGCCCTGAACCGCACAAGGGCACCAGCCGTGGCCCGAGAGCCTGGAGAAGTGCAGGGTGCCGGATCCACGCAGACACCAACCTCCAGGCGTCCACAGCCTTGCAGGGGACTCACATGACCCAAACCGTCACACAGCTGGGAACCCTGCAGGGGATTCCCTGGGGGAGGGAATGAGGGGCAGCCAGGGCCCTCTGTTCTCAGGTACAGGGAGGAGGCGGGGGTGTTTGGAGAGCTGGGAGGCCGGCCGTGGGGCCAGGGCTTGCTTGGGGCCTTGTTATCCACACGGAGGTTCTGGAAGCCATGGAGTCTTCTGCAGTGGCCTCTCAAGATCGGGTTGGCATTTTTTAAAGGTTGTTCTGTTGGCAGTCATGGGGAAGAGCCTGGGTGGGGTGCGTTGCTCTTTGAATGCCCATGGTGCCCAGAAGCATGATTGCCCAGGTCCCTGTGATGCCCAGCGGCATAGCAGTCCAGGTCTCCATGGTGTCCAGCGGCATGGCTGTCCAGGCCCCCTTGGTGCCCAGCAGCGTGGCTGCCCAGGCCCTCAGAGCAGCCTTTTCCTTGTTCTAGCATCGGCTTGGGGACCCGTGAGCCTGTGTACAGCTGCCCATGGAAGGGGTCGGATGGGGCCACCAGCCCCACAGTGAGGACCCTGCCGGGGCCCGTTGACCCTGGGAGCATGGCGGCCAGAACTGCCCTCCTCTGGAGCTGCGCCGGCTGAGCCAGGCCTGCTCCCCTGGGCCCTGGGTGCCGTCTGCCCCTAGCAGCCTCAGCGAGCAGCTCCCGGATGGGGCGGTGGGCCCTGGACCTGGCCTTTGTGTGGAAGGCGGTGCTGACCTTGGGGCTGGTCCTGCTCTACTACTGCTTCTCCATCGGCATCACCTTCTACAACAAATGGCTGACGAAGGTAACCGAGGCTGGGGCCCCCGCGACTGACCGTCAGCCATGCCCAGAGTGGACCAGGACCCTGCGGCCTGCTGCCTGGCCCGCCAGTGTGTAGCTCGTGGGGCAGTCCGGGAGGGCTGCCGAGGGACAGGGTAGAAGAGGTGGGTGGCCAGGGCTGAAGCTGGGGAAGCCCTCTGACCTGAGCCCTGGGGAAGTGGGGGAGGTTGCCCTGCCACCCGGCCCTTGAAGGTGTGGTTCCTGGGGCAGCCCAGGAGGGGTGCCAAGGGCGGGGTGGACTGCCTGCCCTCTGAGTGTGCCGCCGTCCTGCCCGGCCCGCAGAGCTTCCACTTCCCGCTCTTCATGACCATGCTGCACCTGGCCGTCATCTTCCTCTTCTCCGCGCTGTCCCGCGCGCTCGTGCAGTGCTGCAGCCCCAGGGCCCGCGTGGTGCTGACCTGGGCCGACTACCTCAGGAGAGTGGCTCCCACAGGTGTGCGCTGTGCCCCGCAAACGCAGTCGGGACAGCCCGTGTCCCCAGTGTAGCAGTGGCCTTGGGGTTCACCCCCAGTCAGCAGGCAGCCTGAGTGGCCTCCCAAGACCATAGGATGGGAGGCGCACAGGGGGGCCGGGGGTGGGGGCTGGTCCTGGGCAGGGGCGACCTCCGTGTGCTGCCAGGTGAAGGGAAGAGTCCAGAGTGTTGGCCCTCACGAGCTGCCATTCAGTGGGGGCTCTAGCCCTAACGCTGGTACGGAGCCCCTCCCCCTCTTTTGGTTAGGAGTTGCCCCTGGTTGCTGGGCGGAGGGGAGGCTGAGGGCTCTAGAGGAGCCGGGTGGGAGCTGTTTGACCCCTGGGGCAGCCTTCCTAGGCCACCTTGCCCGGGGGCAGACCCAGCTCACGCTGGCGGCTCTGTCTCCACAGCACTGGCAACAGCGCTTGACGTGGGCCTGTCCAACTGGAGCTTCCTGTACATCACCGTCTCCCTGTGAGTACCCGCCGTGTGCCCTTCCCCTGGCACTCCCCGTGCCTCTCATGCCCTGCCTGCCTCCAAGAAGTCACCAGCCTCATCCTCAAAGCGGTGACAGCCACAGCAGGGCCGAGAGCCTGGTGTGCGGTGCACACACATCTTGAGCACTCGTGGGAGCTCAGGGCACAAGACAGCATTGTCTCTGGCCTCTGGCTTTTTGCTTCCGAGGCAGAAGGCCTCCTGGTCCTGGTCCCCGTGGGGAGGGCGGGGCGGGGAAGATGAGCACTGAAGTCCGTGTTCCCCCTGAAGTGCCCCTAGAGCCCAGCCCGCTGTGGACCCCTTTGTTGGCGGTGGAGGGGGGGGGGGTGTCTTGAGCCCAGGCTCCAGCGATGCAGCACGGGCACCCTTGCAGGTACACAATGACCAAATCCTCCGCTGTGCTCTTCATCCTCATCTTCGCGCTCATCTTCAAGCTGGAGGAGCTGGTGAGGCCCGGCTTCCCTCTTGTCCCTCCTGCCCCGCGGAGGCCCAGAACCAAGAAGGGACTCTGAGCAGTGGCCTGTCACTGTGAGTGGCAGAGGAGACAGGCCCGGCTTCCCTCTTGTCCCTCCTGCCCCGCGGAGGCCCAGAACCAAGAAGGGACTCTGAGCAGTGGCCTGTCACTGAGTGGCAGAGGAGACAGGCCCGGCCCGGGTGGCAACAGTTCCCTTCTGAAAAGGACCTGGACATGGGCGAGATTCGGGATGATTGGAAACTGGCGTGGCAGGGTATGATGACAGGAGAGAGCACTTGGGGTTGGGGGTGAGTTAGGGCAGGGCCCCGGGCTCCCTGTTGCTCCAGGCATTAACCCTTGGCTGACGAGGACCAGGGCAGGGGCTGCGCCACCCCGGGGCCCTAGGGCAGCCACAGGGCAGCACTAGAGTGTGGACAGCAGGTGGAGCTGCTGAGACAGCCGCCTGAGCACCTGCCCTTGGGCCAGGGCGGGCCCCAAGGGATCCAGTGGGGTGGGCGGGTCTCTCTCCTCAGGAGTAGCTGGGCAGGCTGCTGGTGCCCAGACCCGGGATGCGGTGACCCCTGAGTTAGCCGCAGCTCTCCCTGCCCCACAGCGAGCAGCTCTGGTCCTGGTGGTCCTTCTCATCGCGGGGGGGCTCTTCATGTTCACCTACAAGTCCACGCAGTTCAGCGCGGAGGGCTTTGCCCTAGTGCTGGGCGCCTCCTTCATCGGCGGTATCCGCTGGACCCTCACCCAGATGCTCCTGCAGAAGGCTGAGCTTGGTGAGGGGCGCAGGTGGGGTGGGGTGGGGGCCGGGAGAAGAGCTTCAGGCGGCCCCCCTGACGCCCCACCCGCCCCTCCGCAGGGCTCCAGAACCCCATCGACACCATGTTCCACCTGCAGCCTCTCATGTTCCTGGGCCTCTTCCCGCTCTTTGCTGTGTTCGAAGGTGCGTGGGGCGCCCGCCTCCCATGGTTTGGGATTGCGCCGTCCCCTCCCCAAGCTCCTTCATGTCACGCCGGTCAGTTAGTCAGCGCAGGTGCAAACCGGACTTACCCAGCCTGAGTTCCGTGCAAGGTGACAGGGCACGTCCCCACTGGTGAGACGGCTGCGGCAGTGGGGATGCAGGTGGTGTGGTTTGTTACAGGGAAGGGGGCCAGGTTCTGTCTTCAGAGTGGGGGGCAGATGCATGTCACATCTAAGGGCCAGGAGGGGGTAATCGCCTGTTGTCCCTGGCCCCTCAGCTGTCCTCTCTGCCCAGTCTGGTCCATCCTCGGGGCGGGATGGAGCAGCCCGCCCCACGTCCATTGAAGTTTGGAGCAGTGAAGCGTCTCCAGCCGCCCTGAGAACATGCTTCCCCAGCCCGTTGTCTAGGAAACTCCTCCTCGGCAGCCTCGTCTTTCCTGCTACACACCCCTCCCCGTGCCCTCAGCATCTACCCCCGTGTCCCAGCGCCAGTCTCTCCCCTGCCCTCCTGGGGTGTGAACACTAGCCCTCAGCTCTGTCCGAAAGCCACTGTTAGCTGTCGCTTAGCAGAGCTGTGTGGATTTAGTGCCTTTAATCTTTGCTGGTAAACTAATCCCCCAAGCACCTTCATTACCTGTGGTGCCTCTCCGAATCCTCCTCTGTTCATTGCCGCCTTAGCGGGACTGCTACGCCCAGCACCGAACAGGCTGCCCAATATCAGGTGGGGG